AACATCAACTGAGCAGGAGTTGGGTAGCCCATGATAAAGCAGGTTTCCTTGCCCATTTGACCTGATGCCATGAGACTACTTGGGGTTCCTAGTGTTGAGAATGCCAAATTTAACTCAACTCATGACTGTATATTACCATGCTGCTAGCTCTGTGGGTCGGTCATGCATCAGGAAAGGTGATGTTGTCTGGGACATCAGTTGTGAGGTATGGTTCTCTAAGTATGACGATGCCAGATTGCTGCTTAACTAGTCTGTGAGACTGCTGTGTCAACTTTGGCAGTAGCATCCAGAAATGAGCAAGGAGGTTTTATCAGGGGTTGACGGGGTTGTCTTTTCCAGAGCCTCAGTTGATGCTGGGTGGTTCACCCAGTTACTTTCATTTTTTGAGACTTTTTAACAATAGATACAATTGAGTGGTTTGCTAGGCCAGTTCAAAGCCAGTTAAGAGTCAACTACGCTGCTATGGATATGGAGTCATGTGTAGACCATACCAGGTAAGGACGGGGGTTTCCTTTCCTAGCAGACATTTGTCAACCAGATGGATTTTTGTGACAGTGGCAATGTTTCACAGCCTTTGCTTAAGTCCAGATTTTTACACAGGTCCCCAGAATGTTACCTGTGTCTTTGTATCACTGGACTAGTCTAGCAATAGTACCACTTGGCTATTACCTTGCCATGATTCAATGAAGATTGAAGGAGAGCATGCTGAGAGCCACATAAGGCATACCTAAAAATGAAGTATTGACCATGAGGTCCCCAGCATCAGTAAAGCCAGTCTTCAGCCAATTCAATTAATTGCATGTGATGTACAGAAATAGCTGGAAACTATGGATCTGCAAAGGCTATGGATACTGACAACATTCTTTTTTTTCTTATTCACTCATTGGATGTGGTCATCGTTGGCTGGGCCAGCATTTATTGCCCATTACTAATTGCCCAGAGGACAGTTGAGAATCATCCACATTGCTATGGGTCTGGACTCGCATGTAAGCCAGACCAGGTGAAGATAGTGGTTTTCTTCAGTAAAGGGCAATAATGAGCAAGATGCGTTTTTCCAACAATCAACAATGGTGTCATGATCACCAATAGACTCTAACTTGCAGATCTGTTTATTGAATTCAAATGTCACCATCTGTCATGGTGCGATTTGAACCCATGTGCCCAGAGCATTATAGAACATAGAACAGTACAGCACAGTACAGGCCCTTCGGCCCACGATGTTGTGCCAAACTTTTACCCTAATCCTAAGGTCTGTCTAACCTCCACCCCCACCTTATACTATCATCCATATGCCTATCTAATAGCCGCTTAAATGCCCCTAATGTGGCCGACTCCACTACCCTCTCCGGCAATGCATTCCATGCCCCTACCACTCTCTGAGTAAAGAACCTACCTCTGACGTCTCCCCTTTATCTACCTCCACTCACTTTAAAACTATGCCCACTCATAATAGCTACCTCCACCCTAGGAAAAGTCTCTGGCTGTCTATCTATACCTCTGATTAGTTTGTACACCTCTATCAAGTCACCTCTCATCCTTCGTCGTTCTAAAGAGAAAAGCCCTAGTGCTCTCAACTTTTCCTCGTAAGACCTTCCTCCATTCCAGGCAACATCCTGATAAATCTCCTCTGTACCTTTTCCAACCCTTCCACATCTCTCCTGTAATGAGGCGACCAGAACTGGACACAATACTCCAAGTGTGACCGAACCAGAGTTTTGTATTACTTGGGTCTCTGGATTAATAGTCTAATGAAAATACCACTAGGCCATTGCCTCCCTTATTCTAGCGATAGGATTGAAGATTTGTGCTTCAGAACTAACTGCAGCCCTAACCATGCTGTTGTTGTACAGCTACAACACCTTACTGAGCAAAGTTTGATTTAAAAAGAGTTTGCATACTTGCACTACATTAGTTGAGTTCAGGACATGGAGCCTTGGCTTCTTGTAATGGAAGTTCTGCTGGCTTAAGGAAAACAGAAGATGAAATCTTTGTGGAAGTTTATTAAGTAGATTAACTGAGTTTATTAAGGAGACACATTTTCAACCAGAGTGTGGTTAATCTGTGGAACTCTTGGAGGCCAAGTCATTGAATATATTTAGGACAGAGATAAATAGATATTTGATTAGTAAGGGGATTAAGGGCTATGATGAGTAGGCAGGAAAATAAGGTTGAGAAACATAAAACAAAAAGTTGCCCCTCAGGTCCCTTTTAAATTTTCCCTGACTCATCTTAAGCCTATGCCTTCTGGTTTTGGACTCCCCTACCCTGGGTAAAAGACCTTGGCTATTCACCTTCTTGATGTCCCTCATGATTTCTGTAAGATCACCGCTCAGCCTCCTACACTCCAGGAAAAAAAGTCCCAGCCTATCCATCCTCTACATATAATTCAAACTTCCAAGTCTCAGGAACATCTTTATAAATCTTTTTTTGCACCCTTTCCAGTTTAATAACATCCTTCCTATAGCAGTTCGGTCAGAATTGTACACAGTACTCCAAATATGGCCTCACCAGTGTCTTGTAAAGTGTAACATGATGTCCAAACTCCTGTATTCAATGCTCTGACTGATGAAAGCAAGTGTAGAACAGTATACCACAGTACAGGCTCTTCGGAACACGATGTTATGCTGATCTATTATCCTACTCTAAGATCAAACTACCCTGCATACCCTACATTTTATTATCATCAATGTACATATCCAAGAGTCGTTTAAATGTCCCTGATGTATCTGACCCCACTACCACCGCCGGCAGTGCATTCCACACGCCCATCACACTCTGTGTAAAGAACCTACCTCTGACATCTCTCCTGTACCTTCCTCCAATCACCTTAAAATTATGCCCCCTCGTAATAGTCATTTCCACCCTGGGAAAAAGTCTCTGGCTACCCACTCTATCTATGCCTCTCATCATCTTGTACACCTCTAACAAGTCACCTCTCATCTTTCTTCGCTCAAATGAGAAAAGCCCTAGCTCCCTCAACCTTTCCTCATAAGACGTGCCCTCCAGTCCAGGCAGCATCCTTGTAAATCTCCTCTGCACCCTCTCTAAAGCTTCCGCAGCCTTCCTATAATGAGGCGACCAGAACTGAACACAATGTTCCAAGTGTAGTCTAACCAGGATTTTATAGAGCTGCAGCGTAACCTCGTGGCTCTTAAACTCAATTCCCCTGCCAACGAAAGCCAACACACCATACACCTTCTTTACAACCCTATCAACTTGGGTAGCAATTTTGAGGGATCTATGGACGTGGACCCCAAGATCCCTCTGTTCCTCCACACTGCCAAGAATCCTGCCATTATCAAGGTCAAGGAGTTTCAGAGGAACCAGCTACATTGTTTATGTATTTGATTGTAACAAGTAGAGTTGATTTTAAAACTGCCGTACATTTGAATAAGTTAAATCCCATCCAACTCTGGCATAGACACCATACTTGTGTACGGGTTTCACAGTTTTTTTTATATGTTACAGTAACTGAGGCTATCCATGTTATTGTATGCCATAATGTGAATACCCTTTAAATGTCTGAAGGGATTTGTAATTGACATGTCTCTGCATTTTTGTGGAACCCTACCCTGTTGAAGAACATACTTTTATTGCATTTTATGTACATGCAGCATCTACAATAAAATATACTGCTGAAGTACTATTGACAAAATGCTAATACATTCACTCAGTAATGTAAAGTGCATTTAGGTCAGTTGATACTACTATAAATGGCCAATGTAATGACAAATGGGTTTTCCTTAATATTGCAAATTCAATTTTGAAATGCTTATGATTTGTGTCTTCTGCACTCTTGCTTCCTGTTGTGTTCATTCATTATTTCTTTAAGTGCTTTACTATGACAGGCAATTTCTCTGGATGCTAATGGACATTTTAATCTTTTGTAATTACTGCCAGAATTTTCACTAATAGGGATGTCGGGGGTTATTTCCCACCCAATGCTAATTGTTATACTTGCTTCCCACCACTTAGACACAGCAGTTTAATAATACAAGCCATTTGGTGGCTGTTATCTAGTTCAGAAATTTTAACAAGTTTAGAATGCCATTTTATTTCTTTTTACACAGAAGATTGTATTGCTTTGCAATAGTCAGTCACTGGGGAGTTAATCCAATTAACAGATCTTCCTTGTACTATACTATGGGTAAAGATTCCTGTGTTTAAAGAAAGTGAAATGGAGATTTGGCTTTCATGTCATTTTGGATTTGATTGGCAAATATGATTTTAAGAAACAGAAACCAGTCAGAATGCGTCTGTAATAATGACCCTTTAATGCTTCCCATGTTGCAATCAAGCAATGTAACTGTTGTAAAGGTCAAATAGTTCCTCATGTTTCTCTGGAATTCCCATCAATTGTTGATATATCAAAAATCTGACCAATTTCAAGTGATCCTGAATGTCTGGTAACTCTTGAAATGGAGATTAGGGGTGAAGATCCACCAGGTAGACAAGGGTGTCAAACGGTGTGAGTGTTTGTGACTGAAAGAGATAGTGCAATCTCAATGGTTTATTACATTAATTGACACAACTAATATTTTACAGAACTTCTCACTTCATGATTTTATGCTTTAACTTATTAGGCTGGAATTTACTGAAGGAGTAATAATGTGAATGATGCACTCCTTTATTAATGTGTAAATTGTCCAGCAGGTTGGGTAAGGAAGAGATGCTTGTGAACCAGAATACAATGCTGCCAGTTAAATTAAATAGCTCAAATTTAGGCTGACTAGTTGAGAGCATAGAATACAATAAAAGCATAAAAATTTGGTTCTCACCTAGGATGTTGCAGCAACTTCTCGTTTTGAGTTGAATTTACCTGCCAAATTCTGTGCTATCTTTGTCCATTAAGTATTGTGTGCACGTTCCTTCCTTGTGGTTTGTAATGGTAGTTCCATTGAAGAGGTTTCTTCTCTCAGTTTGGTAATGATATTTTAGAGGAGTACCGCACAGTTCCAAAACAAGACTGTAATACTGTATTTATTTCCTTCTGTTTGCAGTTCTGGAACCCGTAGTGGCAGCTGTTCACCATCCCCAGACTCGTACTCACTTTACTGTTACCCATGCACATGGGGAGACTGCAAGGTTACGGATTCTTCCAACCATCCAATATCAGGGAACATTTCAACCAATATCCAGAATGTACAGACCTCCTGGTCAAATGCATGGGCATATTCAGACAGTGTTCAAAGCATGACCAGTGGGCGATCTACATCCCGATTATCAGGAGATGCTGTTCACAAAAGTTACTACAGTTGTCCTCGACTGAAACCTCCAGGTTCTCAAAAACGGTTTGCTCCTTTTGGAGCACTAAACCCTTTTTCCAATCCTAGTTACTCATCTAGTTCATCAGCAACAGATTGGTTGGAATCTTCTGATCATCACAAGTCTCCGTCCACTACATCAGAGCAATGTGATCCTTTTGATCCTACAGTCAGTCGTAGTTCTTCTCCTGATCCAGGCTCCGTCAGCATTTCTGGAGAGTTAAGGCACAAGCAGGAATTTAGAAACTGTGTTCAGGATTCATTGTATAAACAGACTGAAAGCATATCTTGTCCTGTCCCACCATCTCGGCCACCAAAAGTCTGTGATTCAGACAACAACATCATCATCAGAAGTGCAGCTTCTTTCTCCCCTACTATTGTGAGAGGTGCTGAGGGTGGAGTCACAAGGGTCTATCTCACGCAAGGAGTTATAGAGGTTCCTCCAGTGTCATCAAGAAGTACTGCAGATATACCAGTTTCTGTCCCTTCATCTAATACCCCAAGTATGCCCAAATTAAATGATAGTGGTTCGTACTGGTATCCACCATCTGATCTATCTACTCTTTCTGTGGAGGAAGTTTCCAAATGCCTACGGTTCATAGGCCTTTCAGAAGATGTGTTAACGTTCTTTATCCGTGAGCGAATTGATGGAAATATTTTTGTTCAGTTGACTGAGGAAATCCTATCTGATGATTTTAAACTGACAAAATTGCAAGTCAAAAAGATCATGCAGTTTATTAAAGGATGGAGGCCGAAGATTTAACCTGATTCTATGTTTAGTTAAGTCAGTTAAGGGTTAACTCTTTAATTCATTGACTCTCAGTAATTTGATTGGTTTTCTTTTAAAAAAAAATCTCCAGATGTTTAAAGTGTCTCAGATCTTCTTTTGCCATAGAAAAAAACAGGAATGTAGGTTGGCATGAAGGATAGCTGTTATCAACATGTTATATCCATTGTTGTTAACATTGAACACTTGAAGATTGCTATATTTCTTTTCCCATTATATTTAACTGCACAATAGATAGATTTATTTTAGGAATAAATGTGGGTTAAAGAGTTGAGTTATTTTTGAATTGTAGTTGATGCCTTATTGGAGGTAGAATAGTCTTCAGGTTATGCCAGCATAAGGTTCTCTCTTTAATCAAATTCAGTATGTTTTCACAAATGTTTAAAGTGCTACAACAATGGAAAGCTGAAATGCAAATTTCATTTCAGTTTTTAATCAGATAACTGCTACAGTTTCTGTTACCAAGTTGAACTAGATTAATGACAGCTAAACTCTTCTATTAATAAAACAGTGGAACTCCATTTTTAAATAAATTGTATTACCCATACTATTTTCCTGTACTTGCAGATCTTCCCACCGAACAAAAATAGGAAATGCAGGAAAATGATCAAAATAAAATAATTCTTGTGCAGCATGTGGTTATTGTGACAGCTAGAAGGAAAATTTAAGTACACATCTGGGAGCAAACATACAGTTGGCCTTTTCCATAGTACATTGAATATACCTATAATTTAGCACATTGTTTTAGCCAGTAATTTGATCTAAAAATGTACTGTACTAATCACTACTGTCTTAAAAAATGTATAGTCTGTTATTTGTAGAAGACAACTCTACATTATGCAGTTTAATGGCTGTGGTTTTTCCAACTAATTTTTGGGAAATTTCTATGTATGTATATTTATGGACAAGCAACTCTTCTCAATACAGATGCTCGTGTTGATACAATTTTCTTTTTTAACAATGAAAGTTGATAATACTATAATTGTACTGAAATGCCTAAGTTTATGCATAATTTATATACAAATCAATAGAGAATAGAACACAAAGAAGAAAAAAGCATCGATGTATGACTTTAGTGTTTTACTATTTGAACCTCTCTATTTGCATGCAATAGGCTTGTTCTTCTCATAGAAATACACATGCTTGGGCTCATTTCTCTTTTTCAATCGGTGTTGGCGATCTTGCAATCTCCAATTTCATTGTTGTGCACTTATTGAGAAGGTAGTGTCATTATAGCTAGAGGTAATGGACACAGGTAATATAATAGCTAATATTTTCTGCACAACCAGTCATGCTTTCTGCTGCTCCAGAAGTAAACCAGTTGCAGATATAGCCAAAATATCAGTGTAATAGCCTATTGTTCTGGAATTGAACAACCGACCTAGAGGCTGTAGTTGGTATGCCATCTCACTATGGCAAACTGAAACTAAATTCAACTAATTTTGAACTTTGTATCCGTCATCAGAAAAGTAACTATCAAAGCTGCTGGCATATAATTAATTGCAATTGGTTCACTAATGTTCATGAGAAGGGGGCGCAGTTCAATTTGATGCTAGTCCGGTGTGATTGCTCAAGCGTCCGGATCATCCTTGAAAGATGGGATAAGTGTAAGGCTTCTGCAAGTTCTTCAACTCCTGACTCCTGCAGCATGTAACTTCAGTGGCTGGGAAGTGTTGCACAATTACTGGAGATGGTAAAAACAACATAAAAATTGGAGTTCTTTCTTTCGAAGAGTTTGAAAATGGAGGAGAGGCATCCGCAGCTAATTTTTAAAAAGCAGGAACATGGAGTAGCAACAGTTTGACAAGACAGCAAAGGCATTGAGCATCTGAGTGTGAAATCAATGCATCATATAAGAGGGATGGGAATATGTTAAAGGTAAATATTTTATGTATCTATAACAACCATCTGGAGTACTGTATACAGGTTTTTTCTCATTATTTAAGAAAGGATATAAATACGTTAGAAGCAGTTCAGAGATGTTTCACTTGACTGATGCCTGGCATTGATGGATCACCTGATGAGGTCAAGCTGGGCCTGTATCTACTGGAGTCTTGAAGAGCAAGAGGTGAGCTTACTAAAACATACAAGATCCTGAAAGCATTCAAGAGGGTGAATGATGAAAATACAGTGGGAGAGATTAGAACAAGGGGACACAGCTTAAAAATAAAGAGTCTACCATTTAAAATGGAGAGAGTTTTCTTTCTTTGAGGGTTGCAAGTCTTGCAAGTCTTTGGAACACTCTTTCCTAGAGGGTGATGGAGGCAGGAATCATTAAATATTCTTAAGACAGAAGTAGATTCTTGACTGACAAGAGGGCTACAGGTCATCATGTGTGGGTAGGAATATGGTATTGAGGCCACAATCAGATCAGCTATGTTCTTGCTGAATTGCAGAGCAGGCTTAAGGGACTGATTGTCCTACTGTTCCTAGTTTATTTGTCTGTACATTAAACTGTAATGTGTCATTAGTTAATCTCAAATTTGGTATCATTAAATGGTTAAAACATAGAAGGAGCCCAAGCAGCCTTTTCCTTTTTTCTACTGGCCCTCCACAGGCAGTGACAGCAATCCAGCAGTACACTAAGTCCCTGTCAACAAGCCAATTAGCCTCTGACATGCTTGGGCAAATAAAATGAATCATGCAGGACAGCTGTGGATTGCCAGTGCTTTAGTTTCTGCCAGGTACGTAGCTGGGCTTTAACTGGTAGCAGGAAACCTGGGCAGACTGGGAGTGGTGAGTACTTGGTCTGTGGTGAGTGGGAGAATACAATGAGCAAGGTACCATAGGGGAGGTGTGCACAGGTTATGAGATGACTTTGGGAAGATAGTGCAAGAAAACTCTTGAGCTTGTGGAAAGATATTCTCCATGAAACTTGCCAAAATACCTTCAATTTCTGGCAATATTGAGCCTCTGGTCTTCTTTCAAACCAGAGAGAAACTGATAAAAGAGGCACACAGCTTTGCCACGGCGGCGAGATTTTCAATGTTGCTGGAAGCTATGGTGCAAGCATAAGTTTTGCTGTCATCTGTACAATTGGTGTATGACCACTTCATGGTGGTGAGTGCCTTTTATCCCACTTTAGGCATCATGCTTTTATCATATGCGAGCCTACACTTCCTGCCATATTTGAGCAACCATGATGAACTAGAAGATGGCTGCTTGGTGACAAGGGGGTGGCTCTACTTTATACCTGGCTGAAGATTTCCCTTTGTCACTTGTACACATGCTGTCCATATGTAGTCAACAAAATGCATGCTATATCCAGTAATGTGACACAATAAGCCATGAGCACCCTAAAAATGCAGTTCCACTGTCTGGATCACTCACAGCTAACCCTCTAATACTCAGCAGAGCTTATCTCTAAATCTGTCTGTTGCATCATCAAATCTAGCCATCATGAGGGAACATCCATTGCCACCTTGGGAAACACCTCAGAAACAGGAGATGGTGGAAGAACAGCAGGAACATAAGGAAGGTGGGCAGGAGACATCCATTACCCCATTACCCAGACATGCTATCTGTGAGCATCTACTCAAACTCTGGTTCCCCTGAAAAATCACCACTGTGCCATAATTCTTCACCATTTCATCCCTCTGCTACAGTCCATTATACTGTTTCCTTGGTCAAAATTCTGTGGTAAAAACACACCACAAAAATGATGTCTTATATCTAATCTCCCAAAGTAGCAAACATCTCTGTGCTCATATCCATCAGCAATTTCTTGTATGCTTCCCCATTGAGGTCCCCTACAGCAGAAGTCTGCCCTCCAAGGAACTGATATGTTCATTATCCTTTTTGGAATAGCTTGGCTACAGCTAACTGGTGACTGAACATGTGTATATCTCGTCTATATGCTATCCTTTAGAATATGCATTGTGCTGGTAGCTGCAAGTGACACATCAATTGATGTACTTCTCCATCAGATATTGCACCTGGCCGTCATGGTCAGGCTGCACTCACTAACACATTCTGCACAGAAGCAGAAGGACAATGTGGAGAAGGGAAGTGTTGAAGGTGAAATCAGAAGCAAGAGGTCCATGGTCATAACATATATTGATGCCACAGCATGGTAGATAGCAGGATATGAGTGGTGGTATTTGATTTGTGAAGACAGCAACATGCTTTCATCCTGAATGTTGCTGGTGATGCCAGTTCAATGTCTTCAGTCACTGCCTATGTTATGATGCAGGGAATGTATCCTTCAAAAGGCTCAGAAGATGTAGGTAACACAGTGTGGAGCTGGAGGAACACGGCAGGCCAGGCAGCATCAGAGGAGCAGGAACGTTGACATTTCAGGTCGGGACCCTTCTTCAGAAATGGGGGAGGGGAAGGGGGCTCTGAAATAAATAGAAGGAGGGGGTTAGGGCTGGGGAAGATAGGTGGGATGATGATAGGTGAATGCAGGTAGGCAGTGATAGGGATTGGTCAGTGAGGTGGGAGGAGCAGATTGGTGGGAGAGAAGACGGACAGGTCAAGGAGGTGGGGATGAGAGGGAGGGTTGGTCATGGGATGAGGCCAGGGGTGAGAAGATTTTGAAGCTAGTAAAGTCCACATCGAGACCATTGGGTTGTAGGCTCCTAAGGCGGAATATGAGGTGCTGTTCCTCCAGTTTCCTGGTGGCGTTGTTGTAACACTGGAGGAGGCCCAGGATGGACATGTCATCCAGGGAGTGGGAGGGGGAGTTGAAGTGGTTTGCGACTGGAAGGTGTTGTCGTTTGTCATGAACAGAGTGCAGGTGCTCTAGAAAGCGGTCTCTGAGCCTCCACTTGGTTTCACCGATGTAGAGGAGGCCACATCGGGAGCAGCGGATACAATATACCACATTAGCGGATGTGCAGGTGAATCCCTGTCTGATGTGGAAGGTTTGTTTGGTGCCTTGGATGGAGGTGAGGGGGGGAGGTGTATGGGCAGGTGTAGCACTTCCTGTGGTTGCAGGGAATGGTGGTGGGGCTAGTGGGGAGTGTGGAACAGACGAGGGAGTCACGGAGAGAGCGGTCCCTATGAAAGGCAGATAAGGGTGGGGAGGGAAATATATCCTTGGTAGTGGGGTCAGACTGCAGGTAGAGGAAGAGGTGGGGGATAATGCCAGTGAGGTTGCAGAAGAGGGCCTAAAAACTCTTTGCTTCTTTCTTGCGCGCAGGCCCAACCAGTCCCCCTCCATCAATACCCTCATCTGCTTAACTAAACTCGTCCTTACCCTTAACAACTTCTCCTTCAACTCCTCCCACTTTGTACAGACTAAGGGAGTGGCCATGGGAACCCACATGGGCCCAAGCTATGCCTGCCTCTTTGTAGGATACTTGGAACAGTCCCTTTTCCGCAGCTACACTGGCCCTATCCCTCACCTCTTCCTCTGCTACATCGATGACTGTATTGGCGCTGCCTCGTGCTCCCACGAGGAGTTTGAACAGTTCACCAACTTTACTAAAATCTTCCACCCCAACCTCAAGTTCACCTGGACCATCTCTGATACCTTTCTCTCCTTCCTGGACCTCTCTCTGTCTCCATCTCTGGTGACCACCTTGAAACTGATAACAATTTCAAGCCCACCGACTCCCACAGATTCCTCGACTACACCTCCTCTCACCCACCTTCCTGCAAGCATGCGATCCCCTATTCCCAATTCCTCTGCCTCTGCCGCATCTACTCCCAAGATGAGATGTTCCACTCCCTAACATCCGAAATGTCCTTGTATTTCAAGGACCGCAACATCCCCCCACTTCAGTGGTCAAAAACGGCCTTGACCGCATCTGTTGCGTTTCCCGCATCTCAGCCCTCACACCCCATCCCCGCAATAAAAACAAAGACAGAATCCCCCTTGTCCTCACATATCACCCTATTAACCTCCGGATTCAACGCATCATTCGCTGCCACTTCCACCACCTGCAATCTGACCCCACTACCAAGGATATATTTCCCTCCCCACCCTTATCTGCC